CCGAGACGGCACCACGAGGTCAAGAGATCGAGAACCATCCTGGCTTAATACGGTGGAAACCCGTCTCTATTAAAAAAATACAAAAAACTAGCCCGGCGAGGTGGCGGGCGCCTGTAGTCCCAGCTACTCGGGAGGCTGAGGCAGGAGAATGGCGTGACCCTGGGAGCGGAGCTTGCAGTGAGCTGAGATCCGGCCACTGCACTCCAGCCTGGGCGACAGAGCGAGACTCCATCTCAAAAAAAAAAAAAAAAAAAAAAAAATCACAGCCAAAAAAAAAAGCCAAAACAAAAGAAAAACAGTTTGCCAAACCTGTATCCAAGGTCCCCTAATTCTACTGCCTTCTGAATTCTTCAGGTATATTAATATATCAGTTGAAAAAATGACAAGTTTTAGAATAAGGCTCATAATTTTGGAGGCAGTTATATAATTTCTTCTGGAGATACGGTTATACTTTGTTTCATCGATTCATTAAAATCTGTCAAAAGTACTGGCAGTGTTATGGACTGAATTATGTCCCCCTAAAATTCCTGTTTAAAGCCAAAATCCCCAATGTGACTATATTTGGAAATAGGGCCTTTAAAGTGGTAACTGGAATTAAATGAAGTCATCAGGATGGGCCTTAATCTGACAGAGTCCCTTATAATAAGAAACATAAGAGATCTCTTTCTCTGTCCATATGCATACAGAGAAAAGACCATGTGAGAACACAGCAAGAAGATGACCACCTACAAGCCAGGAACAGAAGCCTCACTTCTATAGAAGTAAGAGCCTGATCCTGACGTCACCTCAATCTTGAACTTCAAGCTTCCAGAACTGTGAGAAAATAAATTTCTGTTGTTAAAGCCACCCAGTCTGTGGTATTTTGCTATGACAGACCTAGCAGACAAATACAGGCAGTATTATGGATGATATCTGAAATACTTCCCAAAGGTTTGCTTTATTTATGCCTACAAAACAAAAAGTATGGTATGTGGAGGGGCTTTTTCTTCCCCTTTAGCTTCAGTTAAAACAAATTAACTCTTCACATGAAATATATTCTTTAGAATACATTTAGACAACAGAAAAAACTCTAAATTTGCATAAACATTATGACTGTACATGCTTACCTGCTAAATATAATGCCTTCACCTGAGGAGGTTGTAGTGCTTCACAGAAGATGATAACAGATCCTAGCTGACCCTCCAGAGATGTGGGACACCCCCATTCACTGTCTTGGGTTCCAGCTGATATCAATTTGGTAATCAATTTTGATTTTTCAATTGTTCCTCCCCAGGAGGCTGATGACAGAATTCCACCAAATGATGTCCGATGAGGGGTAATGGGAGAAGAGAAAGGTGGATCTGGGATTTGGGATGGCGGAGGAGTGGTGGTTCTTTGCCCAGCTGAACCAATGCAACAGGAAGTAAAGGGCTAAAAACCAAAAAATTACACAATTTTAATTAAAATATATCCTCATATTGAACATAAAATTACACAATAAAATAGTGCATAAAATTACACAAATAAATAAAATGAAAATAAAAGTGGAAGCAATTTTATTTTTACCAAATCATGATGTGTACATGCATGTGTATACTTAGGAAATTATTAGCAAAATTACCTTAGCCTATAGAATTTGGATGCATTACTTTTATGACTGATTTTATATTCTTTGGTAATTTTTGAATTTTTAAAGTGTATATGATTAAGAATTTTTTTAACTTTACTGTTTTTGAAAATAGAGAAAACTATTTTTTTCTCTTTAAAATGTATAAATATTAATCACAAACTATCCTAAAATGGTCCCTGAGATGAAAACCAAGAAATTACTTGAATCATAGGACTTGAGAAATAATCTACTCTATTCTACTATCTTCAGAAAAGGCCCTCTAGTGTTCTTTGAGAACCACTTCAATACATAAACTCTATTTTATACCTAACTAAAATGTGAAGGTTTTAAGCTTCTTCATTATTGTTTCAATTTTAATCGAGTTAGAAGAGTACCTCATAATATTCTCTTAAGTATTTCACATACTTAAGAGAGCTTTTATTAAACGATAGATTGATCTGCTCTATTCATTTCTTTGGCTTTCCTGTTATAAGTCTTTCTTTCTAAGCCTTTGTTTCTTCCTTAAATGTTTTCCTTTTTTCACATTGTTTGACTTCATCTAATAATGACAGGCTGACAGAACTGAATATTAATATGTGGAGTCTTACCACATAGAAAACACTTTAAAATATGGGGCCACATATTTACAGCAAACATAACCTTCTACATTAACTAAAACATTTCAAGAATTCTCAATCAATGGAGCCTGTAAAGAGTAGGTTGGATATACTTACTTCATTCATGGCAGGAAATCTGAGAGGGGCAGAAACCTTCTGTTGTCCATTGTCATAGATATAGATGAAGCTCTGACCAAAGGGCCTTTTTCCAGGCATGTGGACAATAGTTATGTTGTGCTGATAAAGTGAAACACACATTTAAAAGGATAAAATTACATTATATCTTTGGAATGACAAATGCTTTCAGAATTTTGCTCTATAATTTGTACAAATAGAACATTAAGATTAAACTTAGTTAAATGTTAATTAAATTGATGTTCTCAAAGTAACAATTTTTTCCATAGTAGTACAAAAGCACCTAGGTGTATTCTATAAAATATACACAATTGTAACAGTACCTTTTCTGCATTTCCAAAGCTTCAGTATTCTTTAGAATCATTTTTTAAAATGAGAAGCATTTTATATTTTAGAAAACAATACAAATGCATTGTTTAAAACAACCTATCGGCTGGGCGCAGTGGCTCACACCTGTAATTCCAGCACTTTGGGAGGCGGGTGGATCACCCGAGGTCAAGAGTTCGAGACCAGCCTGGCCAACATGGTGAAACCCCCACCTCTACTGAAAAATACAAAAATTAGCCAGGTGTGGTGGCAGGTGCCTGTAATCCCAGCTACTCAGGAGGCTAAGATAGGAGAATTGCTTGAACCCAGGAGGCAGAGGTTGCAGTGAGCTGAGATGGTGCCACTAGACTCCAGCCTTGGTAACAGAGTGAGACTCTGTTCCAAAAGAAAAAAACAAAACAAAACAAAACAAAACCACAAAACAACCTATCATCTCATTTTATTTTGTCATTTTTTTAAAAAACCTTTTTTACAAATTGGGTCACGCTCTATAGCTGAGGCTTGAGTGCAGTGGTGCAATCATAGCTCATTACAGCCTTGAACTTCCCAGTATCTTCCTGAGTAGCTAGAATTATGTGTGCCACCTCACCCAACTAATTTTTAAATTTTTTGTAGAGAGAGTCTCACCCCAGGCTGGTCTTGAACTCCTGGCTTCAAGCAATCCTCCCACCTTGGCCTCTCAAAGTGCTAGGTTTACAGGTATGAGTTACAGCACCCAGCCCATCTCATTTTAATATGAAATTCAAAATTAAATTTACTTATAGAGGTAGGCGGATCACAAGGTCAAGAGATCAAGAACATCCTGGCCAACATGCTGAAATCCTATCTCTACTAAAAATACAAAAATTAGCTGGGTGTGGTGGTGCGTGCCTGTAGTTCCAGCTACTTGGGAGGCTGAGACAAGAGAATTGCTTGAACCCAGGAGGCAGAGGTTGTAGTGAGTTGAGATCACGCCACTATACTCCAGCCTGGCAACAGAGCAAGACTCCATCTCAAAAAAATAAAAAAAATAAAAAATTTTTTTTACTTATAGAAAACCTTAAGACATCCTAACATTCTAAATACATATTTACTAATTTATTTATTTTTTATTTTTTTGAGACAGGGTCTCACTCTGTTGCCCAGGCTGGAGTACAGTGGTACCATCTCAGTTTACTGGAGCCTTGACTTCCTGGGCTCAAGCGATTCTCCCAACTCAGCCTCCCAAGTGGCTGGGACCACAGGCACAAATCACCATACCCAGGTAATTTTTGTATTTTTCGGTAGATACTGAGTTTCACCATGTTGCAGTGATGGTCTCAAACTCTTGAGCTCAAGTTATCTGCCTGTCTTGGCCTCCTACAGTGCTGCGATTATGTACAGGTATGCCACTGCCCAGCCTCATTTAAATTTTTTTAGCAAAAAAAATGACTGCTGTTGAATTTATGACAATAGTGGGAAATACCATTAACCATACAAGAAGTTAAATGTGATGCCCTAAAGCCTTACCCAGAGGGAATCACAGAAACTGTGGTCAGGAAGCATAACCGTTGCATATTCTCTTTTTGTGCACACTGCCACGACCAACATACCTGAATGGGTAATAAAGGCTTCAAAACCCATGCCACTTCCTGTAAAAAAACTAACAAAAATATGTATTATCAGAACTTTTGAAGTTGGTTGCTCAGTTTCCTCATCATTAAAGTACATAAAACCATAAAGCTATCATGAATGTCTTTACCAATAATTCTGTAGCTTAAATTCTATTGCCACACACTAGTCCAACCTTGTTTCAAAGACCCTTTTAAAATCCGTTTTGGTCGTAAGAGTTTAGTAAATAAAAGGCAGCCTTCTAAAGTGGAATTCCACTAGTAAAGGTAAAAAAGTAAAACTACTAATTTTCAAATCTCTAAAATTCTTCCAAATAAGAATCAGTAAGCATAAATAAAGGTCTTTAAAATCACACAGCATAGGCCAGGAGCGGTGTCTCAGGCCTGTAATCCCAGTACTTTGGCAGGCCAAGGCCAGCCTGGCCAATGTGGTGAAACATCGCCTCTACTAAAAATACAAAAATTAGCTGGGTGTGGTGGTGGGCGCTTGTAGTCCCAGCTACTCAGGAGGCTGAGGCAGAAGAATCGCTTGAACCCAGGAGCTGGAGGTTGCAGTGAGCTGAGATCGTGCCACTGCACTCCAGCCTGGATGACAAGAGTGAAACTCTGTCTTAAAAAAAAAAAAAAAAAAACACGGCCGGGTGCGGTGGCTCAAGCCTGTAATCCCAGCACTTTGGGAGGCCGAGATGGGCGGATCACGAGGTCAGAAGATCGAGAACATCCTGGCTAACACAGTGAAACCCCGGCTCTACTAAAAATACAAAAAACTAGCCGAGCGTGGTGGTGGGCGCCTGTAGTCCCAGCCACTCGGGAGGCTGAAGCAGGAGAATGGCATGAATCCGGGAGATAGAACTTGCAGTGAGCTGAGATCCGGCCACTGCACTCCAGCCTGGAAAACAGAGTGAGACTCCGTCTCAAAAAAAAAAAAAAAAAAAAAAAAAACACAAGGCATATTAAAAAGTAGTAGCTATTAAATTCTGGATGTACATACACATAGGTTTTCTGTTCCTTCATGTAAATATATAGCATATTTATATGTAATATATACTTATAGTATATTCAATGGAATAGAAATCATTACTCATTTTTTTTTCTTTTTTTTTGAGGAAAATCTTCCTCTATCGCCTAGGCTGGAGTGCAGTGGTACGATCTCAGCTCACTGCAATCTCTGCTTTCTGGATTCAAGTGATTCTTGTGCCTCAGTCTCCCAAGTAGCTGGGATTACAGGCATGCACCACCACACCCAGCTAATTTCTATATTTTTAGTACAGACGGTGTTTCTCCATACTGACCATGCTGGTCTTGAATTCCTGACCTCAAGTGATTCGCCCACCTCAACTGCTTAAAGTGCTAGGGTTACAGGTGTGAGCCACCACACCTGGCCATTATTCATTTTCATGGAGTTTTTCTGTGTGTGACATCTTGCTTTGCCACCCAGGTTGAAGTGCAGTGGTGCAATCACAGCTCACTGTAGCCTCAACTTCCTGAGCTGAAGTGATCCTCAAGTAGCTGGGACTACAGGTGTGTGCCATCACACCTGGCTAATTTTTATATTTTTTGTAGAGATAAGGTTTTGCCATGTTGCCCAGGCTAGTCTTGAACTCCTGGCCTCAAGCAATGCACCTGCCTCTACCTCCTAAAGTGGTGTGATTACAAGCGTGCCACCACACCTGGCCCATTTTCAAGATTATTACTCATTTTTCCTTTCACTTTTACACTACTTTTAAGAGGGAAACTTGTTTCCAAAGTAGCCTCAAAACTTAACCAGCAATATTTGAGGTATATAGCTATTACTATGAAAGCAATAGAGCACTTACAATTAAACTGTATAAAGCCTCAGGATGAAGAGGCTTTAGATAAATTGTACATCTAAAAGCTAGATGCTTGGAAACAGTTTTCCTGTTTAAGAATCACAGCACATATTGTTATGACAGTATTCATTTATATTCCATAATTTTTACCAATACCTGTACAATTGTTTCCTTTTCCCTCCTTTGTTAGCAATGCCAAGAGTCAATTGATCCTGATCTAAGCAAAACCAAGCACTGAAAGAAAAGGCGGACCCCGGCCATTTCTGTATGGGAGGCACAGAAATTCCTGCCATACTATGTGACAAATCAAAATATTGGAGGGCACTCTCTAGACTTAGTTTTCGAGCCATTGTCAGGATTGCTCGAGTCACAGGAGTGATATAAGGGTGAATAGACTCAGATTCATCCACTCTCAGCAATCTTAGTAGTCGACGGATTTCTTCTGAGCTCACTGACTGACTCCCCAAGGAACCATGGATTGCAATCAAGTTCTCAGCACAAGTTTGATGGAGGGAAGAATGCGAGTCAAGGGTTTCAATGATTCTAATCCCCATGTTTGCATTGACACAAGTAGTTCGACTCTGTCTATTAATACAACAAATTCTTTTCAGCCAATCAGAGATGAAGATTTGCAGGTCATGGGATTGTAGTTCTGGAAGCCACTGGATAAGAAGCAAGAGAGGTTGGACATTACTAATGCCCAAAATTCCAACTGAAGTGTGGTCACCCTCTACAGCCTGAAAAGCAACAAAAAAGATAAAAGGTTAGTTACCATTTTCAAAACGGATATTAACAGAAGTTCTCTTAATAAAAGTTATAAACTCACCATATTCATAAGTTCTTTAAGTAATTCCAGTGGTGGCTGACCCAGGGATTTTAATACTTCAAACATATGTGTATAACCAATTCTTTCTTTAAATACTTCCTAGGGGATGGGAAGACAATATATCAAAGTACATTTTCAAAGACTGAATGTGTTGGAATTTTAAAAATATTAGTCATTTACGCTAACTAACTTAATAGTAAATAAAGAAAAAGATATTAGTTCACTATTTGCCTTCTTAAATCACGTCTTCATTTTAAAATAGATTCCATATAACTTCTGGAGTAATAAAGTTATAATTCTCTACCAAAATTCAAAATAAATGAAATTAACAATAACTGTGTTATAGAATTATTATATTATTTGCAGATTAGGGCATATGACAATTCTTGTATTTTCTTCACTTGATTTGCAATTACTAGAGTAGTAGTTAAGTCAAAACAAAAATAGAGGAAAAAATGAGGAGACTGTAGGTAAGAGGAGTCAGACATCAGCCTAAAAAGACCCAATTAAAGAGTTCCTGGCAATTTTGAATAGTGGTCAGAAACAAACTGAATACAAAGAGTTTTCTCTGTGCTACTTGTATTTAAATGGTCTGCATTATCTGGAACATCAAGTTCATTTTAGGAAGTTCTATGTCACATGTATTTTTGAACCAGTAGGCACCCAAAGTCATAAAGTGAAATATAAAGACAACTGGTAAACCTAGAACATACTAAAGTGCCCCATTACATTAGGTTGAAATATACACACTCACTACAAAATCAAAAAATTTAACAAAACAGGTAAAGCTGGTTTCCTTTAGGGAGGGAAATGGTTGAATGTGGGTCAAGAATAGGAAGGAAATATTTTCTCATTATGTATTTTTGTTACATAATCTTTTGAATTTTAAACATGCCAGCTATTACATGGACAAAAAAAAGAATTCAAGGAAGACTGGAACATCTTTTTTGATGTCTGAATTTCAGAATACAGTACAGGCAATCCATTATACTCATAAACCAGTTATTTAAGACTTAAAATGGTTTCCATCTTACAGCAACTAGTATTAAATGGAGATTAAGTCACAAGCCAGACTGTAAAAGTTGTAAAAGTCTATTCAATAGGAACTTAACCATGAGTTATGTCAACATTTCTTAGACATAAGTTATGTCTAACCTTCTAGCAAAGGTTAGAGTCTCCTAACACAAACCAATGTAATCTAAGGAATACAATGAAAGGCATGTTTCAGCAAACAGGGAGTAATTAATTGACTTCTGGTACCAGAAAGGTGAGGCACGAAGTATATTAGATGTGGCAGATAAGAGTGTAAAGTAATAATAAAAGTCACTGACATGTATTTAGCACTTATCATGTGCCTGGCACTATGCTTACCACTTCACACAGATGACCTCACTAATCTTACCAGTATATGAGGAAACTACCAGTATAACTGGACAGAAGAACAGTCAGTGGCAGTGAATGAGAAAAAACAGAAAACTCTAAGGGTTACTGAATACAAGAAGCAGAATTTCCACGGCCATACAACCTGGAAAAACTGGTATCAAATTGAAAAATGTTCATAATTTAGGCGGTCATAAACTGACTAAATAAAGGGTCATTATTTTATTAATGAAGAAAAACTCTGATATAAAACTTAATTCTTTAAACTCATGAACCACAGAACCACTTAAAAGTATCCTTCCAACACCAGTGCTCATGTCCCATTTTTTGCTAACACCGTAAATGCTATCAGTTTGCAGTTCAAACATTAACGTCTTTTAACATCTTAAAGCAGTGCCTATAGGGGTCTGTCTTTAAAATTATCACAAGTATAGGCAAACAATAAGTAACCTCATTCTTTTTTTTTTTTGCAATGGGCAGTCTGGCTCTGTCGCCGAGGTTGGAGTGCAGTGCGCGATCTCGACTCAGGCGCAAGCTCCGCCTCCCGGGTTACGCCATTCTCCTGCCTCAGCCTCCACGGTAGCTGGGACTACAGGCGCCGCCACCCTCGCCGGCTGAGTTTTTGTCATTTTTTAGTAAGAGACGGGGTTTCACCGTGTTAGCCAGGATGTTTCGATCTGACCCGTCTCACTCCAACAGTGCTGGATTACAGGCTTGACCCACCCCCACACTCACCACCATTCCAACCAACAATTTCTCACACATTTCACTCAACACACAACAAACACACAAAAACAAAACACACACTACTCAAAACCTGGAGTGACACATCAGGCTACAAACAAAAAAACCCCTGCCACAAAGACCTCACACACACACACACGCAAAAGCGCTGGAACATAAGTTCAGCATTCTTCGTTCTTTTTTTGCTTCTCTTTGAGACAGAGCTCTCTCTCTGTCGCCCAAGGCTGCAGTCGCAGCTGGTGTCACTCACACCTCACACATGCTCAGCTCCAGCAAGCTGGGGACTAACAGCGCGCACGCACAACCGCCAGCACACACTGTACACACTCACAACACGCTCGCCCACGCATGCCGCACACCTCACACCACACGGCACATCTCCAGCCTGCAGCACACACACCCCGCACCACTCGCTGCTACGCTTTTGTATTTTTCAGTAGCAGACGCGGCTCACGCTCACCACCACGACTCCTACTGACGACAGGCAACACGCGCACACACGTGCGCCCACACTTCCTTTTAGTAGAGACACGGGTTTTCAACCCATGCGTACCACACTGCGACTCACCGTGATCCACTCACACCACACGGAATTACAGGCATCAGCCACTGCGCCCGGCCATACTCAGCATTCTTAAAGAAAAGAGGCTGGGCACGGTGGCTTACACCTGGGATCCCAGACTTTGGGAGGCTGAGCGGGGTGGATCACGAGGTCAGAAGTTCCAGAGCAGCCTAGCCAAAATGGTGAAACCCCATCTCTACTAAAAAATACAAAAATCAGCCAGGCGTGGTGGCAAGCACCTGTAATCCCAGCTACTCCGGAGGCTGAGGCAGAATTGCTTGAACCCAGGATGCAGAGGTTGCAGTGAGCCAGGATCACATCACTGCACTCCAACCTGGGCAACAGAGCAAGACTCTGCCTCAAAAAAAGAAAAGAAAAGAAAAGAAAAGAAAAGAAAAGAAATTCCAAAGAATTTCATATCCAACCAAACTAAGCTTCATAAGTGAAGGAGGAATAAGATCCTTTTCAGAGAAGCAAATGCTAAAAGAATTCATTACTATCAGACCTGCCTTACAAGATGTCCTGAAGGAAGTGCTAAATATGGAAAGGAAAGACCGTTACCAGCCACTACCAAAACATACTTAAGTACATAGACCTATGACACTATAAAGCAACCACACACACAAGTCAACATGTCTGTATAATAATCAGCTAATAATATGGTAGTAGGATCAAATCAGAACAGATTAATACTAACCTTGAATGTATATGGGCTAAATTCCCCAATTAAAAGGCACAGAGTGGCAAGTTGGAGAAAAAATCAAGACCCAGTGGTATGATGTCTTCAAGAGACTCATCTCACATGCAATGACACCCATAGGCTTAAAGTAAAGGGATGGAGAAAAATCAATCAAGCAAACGGAAAACAGAAAAAAGCAGGGGTTGCTATTCTTACTTTAGACAAAACAGACTTTAAACCAACAAAGATAAAAAAGACAAAGAAGTTACGTAATGGTAAAGGGCTCAATTTAACAAAACCTAACTATCTTAAATATATATACATGCTCAACACAGAAGCACCCAGATTTGTAATTCTTAGAGACTACAGTATACTTGGACAGATCATTGAGGCAGAAAACTAACAAAGATATTCAGGACCTGAACTTAACACATGACCAAATGGACGTAGTAGAGATCTACAGAACACTTTACCACAAAACAAGAGAATATACATTCTTCACATCTGCACATGGGACATACTCTAAAATTGACAACACAATCAGACATAAAATAATCTTCAGCAAATTTCAAAAAACCAAAATCATACCAACCACACCCTTGAATCATAGTACAGTAAAAATAGAAATCAAGACTAAGAAAATTGTTCAAAACCATATGATTACATGAAAATTAAACTGTCTACTCCTGAATGACTCCTGGGTAAATAATAAAATTAGAGCAGAAATAAAGAAATTATTTGAAACTAATGAGAAGATACAACATACAAGAATCTCTGGGACATAGCTAAAGCAGTGTTAAGAGGGAAATTTATAGCACTAAATGCCCACATCAAAAAGTTAGAAAGATTACAAATCCAGCAACCTAACATCACAATTAGAGAACTAGAGAAACAAAAGCAAACCAATCCCAAAGCTAGCAGAAGACAAGAATTAACCAAAACAGCGCTGAACTGAAGGAAACTGAGACATCAAAAACCATACAAAAGATAGGCCAGGCACAGTGGCTCACATCTGTAATCCTAGCACTTTGGGAGGCTGAGGTGGGCAGATCACTTGAGACCAGAGTTCAAGACCAGTCTGGCCAACATGGGGAAATCCATCTCTACTAAAAATACAAAAATTAGCCAAGCATGGTGGCACGTGCCTGTAATCCCAGCTACTCGGGAGGTTGGCAGGAGAACTGCTTGAACCCAGGAGGCAGAGGTTGCAGTGAGCTGAGATCTCGCCACTGGACTCCAGCCTGGGTGGCAGAGCGAGGCTCTGTCTCAAAAACAAAACAAAACAAAACAAAACAAAACAAAACAAAACAAAACAAAAAACCAGAAGATCAACAATTCCAGGAGTTGATTCTTTGAAAGAATTAATAAAATAGATCACTAGCTGAACAAAGAAAAAAAGAGAGAGAAGATCTAAATAAACATAATCAGAAATGACATATAGGACATTACTACTGACCCCACAGGATACAAAAAATCCACAAAGACTACTATGAACACCTCTATGCACACAAGTTAGAAAACCTAGAAGAAATGGATAAATTCCTAGAAACACACAACCTCCCAAGATCAAACTAGGAAGAAAATGAATCTCAGTACAGACCAATAATGAGTTCCAAATTTGAATCAGTAATAAAAAACCTACCAATCAGAAAAAACCTAGGACCAGAAAGATTCACAGCCAAATTCTATCAGATACATAAAAAAGAGCTGGTACCATTCCTACTGAAACTTTTCAAAAAATTTAGGAGGAAGGACTCCTTTCTAATTCCTTCTGTGAGGCCAGCATCACCCTGATACCAAAACCTCGCAGAGACACAACAAATAAAGAAAACTTCAGGCCAACATCCTTGATGAACATAGATGCAAAAATCTTCAACAAAACATTAGCAAACAGAATCCAGCAGCACATCAAATCCACCATGATCAAGTAGGGTTTATCCATGGGATGCAATGTTGGTTCAACATATGCAAATCAATAAATGTGATTCATCACATAAACAGAACAAAACAGAAACCACAAGATTATCTCAATAGAAACAGAAAAAGCTTTCAATAAAATTCAACATCCCTTCATGTTAAAAACCCTCAACAAACTAGGCATTGAAGGAACATACTTCAAAATAATAAAAGCCATCTATGACATACCCACAGCCAACATCACACTGAATGGGCAAAAGCTGGAAGCATTCCCCTTGAAAGCCAGAATAAGACTGGGATACCCTCTCTCACCACTCCCACTCAACATAGTACAGAAAGTCACAGCCAGAGCAATCAGGCAAGAGAAAGAAATAAAAGGCTTCTAAGCAGGAAGAGAGTAAGTCAAACTCTCTCTGTTTGCAGACAATATGATTCTATGCCTAGAAAAATCCCATAGTCTCTGCCTAAAAGCTCCTTGATCTGATAAACTACTTGAGGAAAGTTGCAGTACACAAAATCAATGTACAAAAATCAGCAGCATTCCTATACACCAACAATATCCAAGCTAAGAGCCAAATCAAGAATGCAATCCCATTCACAATTGCCACGAAAAGAATAAAATAACTAGGAATATGGCTAACCAGTGAGGTGAAAGATCTCTACAAGAATTACAAAACATTGCTCAAAGAAATCAGAGATGATACCAACAAATGGAAAAATATTCCATATTCATGAATACGAAGAATCAATATTGTTAAAATGACCATACTGCCTGGGCTGGTGTGGGGGCTCATGCCTGTAATCCCAGCACTCTAGGAGGCCGAGGTGGGCAGATCATTTGAGGTCAGTAGTTCAAGACCAGCCTGGCCAACATCGTGAAACCCTGTCTCTACTGAAAATACAGAAAATTTAGCCAAGCGTGGTGGTGCACACCTGTAATCCCAGTTACTTGGGAGGCTGAGGCAGGAGAATCACTTGAACCTGGGAGATGGAGGTTGCAGTGAGCTAGGATCGTGCCACTGCACTCTAGCCTGGGTGAGAAAGTGAGACTCCGTCTCAAAGAAAATAAAAATGACCATATTGCCCAAAGATTCAGTGCTATTCCTATCAAACTACCAGTAGCATTCTTTACAGAACTAGAAAAACCTATTTTAAAATTAATATGGAACCAAAAAAGAGCCTGAATAGCTAAGGCAATTCTAGAAAAAAGAACAAAGCTGGAGGCATCACATTACCTGACTTCAAACTATACTACGAGACTACAGTAACCAAAACAACATAGTACTGGTACAAAAATAGACACATAGACCAGTAGAACAGAACAGAATATAATGCTGCAGAGTCCAGATATAATGCTGCACACCTACAGCCATCCAATCTTCGACAAAGAGGACAAAAACAAGCAATGGGAAAGGGCTCCTTTTTAATAAATGGTGCTGGGATAACTAGCTAGCAATATGCAGAAGACTGAAACTGGACCCCTTCCTTACAATACACAAAAGTCAACTCAAGTTGCATTAGACTTAAGTGTAAAACTATAAAAACCCTGGAAGATAACCTAGGAAATACTATTCTGGACATAGGACCTGGCAAAGATTTCATGAGGAAGCCATCAAAAGTAACTGCAACAAAAACAAAAATTGACAAATGGGACCAAACTAAACTAAAGAGCTTCTGCACAACAAAAGAAACTATCAACAGAGTAAACAGACAACCTACAGAAATATTGGCAAACTACGCATCCAACAAAGGTCTAATATCTAGAATCTATAAGGCACTTAGACAAATCAACAAGTAAAAGCAAATAACCCCACTAAAAAGTGTGCAAAGGACAAGAACAGACACTTTTCAAAAGAAAACAGGGCTGGGTGTGGTGGCTCATGCCTGTAATCCCAGCACTTTGGGAGGTCAAGGCAGGTGGATCACCTGCTTTTGGGAGTTTAAGACCAGCCTGGCCAACATGGTGAAACCCCATCTCTACTAAAAACACACAAATTAGCCAGGCTATAATGGTGCACACCTGTAATCCCAGCTACTCGGGAGGCTGAGGCAGGAGAATCACTTGAACCCAGGATGTGGAGGTTGCAGTGAGCCAAGACGCGCTACTGCATTCCAGCTTGGGCGACAGAGGGAGACCCTGCCTCAAAAAAAAAAAAAGGAAAACATATGCAGCCAACAAGCATATGAAAAAATGCTAAACATCACTAATCATTAGAGAAATGCAAATCAAAACCACAATGACATACCATCTCACACCACTCAGAATGGCTACTATTAAAATATCAAAAAATAACAGATGTTGGCAAACTTGTGAAGAAAAGGAGCACTTATACACTGCTGGTGGGATGTAAATTAGCTCAGCCATTGTGTAAAGCAGTCTGGCAACTTCTCAAAGAACTCAAAGCAAACTTACCATTCAACCCGGCAATCCCATTATTGGGTAAATACCCAAGGGAATATAAATTGTTCTACCACAAAGACACATGCACATGTATGTTCATCACAGCACTATTCACAATAGCAAAGACATGGAATCAACCTGAATGCCCATCAATAGTAAACTGGATAAAGAAAATGTGGTAGATATACACCATGGAATACTACACAGCCATAAAAACAAATGAGATCATATCCTCATATCCTTTGCAACAACATGGATGGAGCTGGAGGCCATTATTTTAGGTGAACTAACACAGGAATAGAAAACCAAATACCACGTGTTTTTACATGTAAGTGGGAGCCAACCACTGAGTTCATATGGACACAAAGAAAAGAACAATAGATATCAGGACCTACTTGAGGGTGGAAGGAGGAGGGGGAAGATTGAAAAACTACCTATTGGGTACTAAGCTTATCAACCTGGGTAGCAAAATAATCTGTACACGTAATCCCTGTGATATCCAATTTACCTATATAACAAACCTGCACATGTACCCCTGAACCTAAATAGAAGTTAAGGAAAAAAAAAGCTGGAGGATATATGTTTCACCTTAGCAGCTGGAGATTTGTTCATTACTGCTGTCAAAGCCTGAATGGTTGATATGGCCAAACAATCCAATTGTCCCTGAAACACCTATTGAGGGGGAAGGAGAAACAAGAAATTAACAAATGTGTTCACAATTTTTATTGAGTTAGGAAACCTTTGGTCTGAAAACCTGAAAAAATAATTACTTAACATGCATTACATTCCTCTTCCAATGAAATGGATTTCTGAAATACTATAACCTGCAAGAAAAGTTACCTATTTAAAAGAAAAATAAGCCACATGTCAAGGAGGATAAGGCAACATTCACTTATTACATTAAAATGTTTTGAGAAAAACACAAGCTTAACACATGCTTTTTAAAAATAATGGACAATCTCAAGAGGAAGGGAGGGAGGTCTATCATTCATTGGAAATTCTATTACTTTTTTTTTTTTTTTTTTGAGACAGAGTTTCTTTCTTGTGACCCTTGTTTGATTATTCTGCAATCTCCGCCTCCTAGGTTCAAGTGATTCTCCTGCCTCAGTCTCCTGAGTAGCTGGGATTACAGGCATGCGCCACCACGCCTGGCTAATTTTTGTATTTTTAGTAGAGACAGGGTTTCTCCATATTGGTCAGGTTGGTTTTGAACTCCTGACCTCAAGTGATCCACCCGCCTTGGCCTCCCAAAGTGCTGGGATTACAGGTGTGAGCCACCACACCCAGCCAGAAATCCTATTACGTTTTAATTTCCCTTCAAAACTACACTTGAATGATCCAGGTTTAAATTCCATTTGCATGTATTAAAAAACAGCTAAAATAATCTTGTTCATCTAGTTTCCAAATCCTGTGTTAAAACTAAGATGGCATGTGCATACGCCAATTAATTATATTTATAAACAATTAAATATATCTATTTTTATATAAAATGGAAAATTTGAGGCAGATACAGAAAATGAAATACATATCTCTAAACATTGTCATGTTTTTGAGAAGGCAACTTTTAATCCTAAAAGTTGTATGAAAAAATAAAAACTAGCCTAATTTTGTCTATTACTGTTAAAGCTTCAATAAAAAGAAGAGATACGTTAAATTCCAGGGCAGTGTATTTATAGCAAAAACAAAAACTAACATCAAGAATATTAAAAAACTGAACATGACTGTTATATCGGGCTTAGACAATCATGAAAGCACAGAATCACTTACAATTTGGAATTGTAATGTGAACCTCTAAGAGACTATAATAATTGTTTTATTAATCTACATAAGTAGGCCTTAAGAGGAATTAACATTTATAGAGAACTCTAAAACAATACTCTGTAAACTGATACTTCACATATAGAATAAAAAATAAGCTGATAATGTCTCTTATTACACAAAAATTCTATTTATAAACTTGGACGTTAACACAATGTTAATAAAAAACATCATGTAAGTTTTCTTGCAAATATTTTGGAAGAGAAAAATAACATCAATTTTTAAAGGTAGTTTTTTTTCAAACTAGATTACCTAATGTATTGAAAGAAGCAACATAAATTACATATTTTTGCTTTATTATACCTGTATAGACTTGAATTTCTAGAATACAAAAAGTCAAGTTTTACGCTAAATTAACAGAGAGTTCAGCATCTTCTTCCCTTCCTCCAAGATTCAGGTTGTCCACTGAATTATAATCATCACTTGTCAATAAGAAGCAAAGAATCAAGATATTAACAATGACCATACATATTCACAAAGAAAGCCCTAAGGTCCCAATATACCACAGTGCTTAGAAAAGTCACCACCAGGTGGACAGCATTGATACTGAGATTCCATTCCTGTACTTTATATCTCCTCAAATTGAAAAGACCATATACACATAGAGGGAATGGTATTGATTGCTTGTATCAATCACCAAGATATTTATCCTTTAGATGAAAGCAATTTTTATTTTAACTTTTTAGCAATTTTCAAAAATAATTAATGAATATTAGAATTTGACAGTGTTTGTGTATTTTAGGACATAAGAAGAAAAGCACAGGAATAGTTATTCCCATTGGCTGATTTTGGACTTCAGCTGAAACAAGATGCAGGCTATGTAGATACCTGGTCCTCATTCATTTCTGTCAGTAATTTGTTGGCAAGGTCTTTCTCGTTCTTGTCTGCCACCTTATTGTTAGCATTTAAAAACAGCTGTTAAAAACAGAGACAAGAATAATGGAGAAAGAACATTAAACTGTTACCTACAAGCAGCAATGAAGCTTAAATGGGTTTCCATGTCTCTTGAAAATAAACCCAGGAATTCCCCTGGGAAGTATACTACACTTTTAGAAATTAAAGATTATTCACTTTTTGGATTATGAATTAATAGTAGTTTAGATATTTCTCTATTGGAATTCAAAGTTACTAAAATAAGAAACAATGGCAATAATTAGGATTAGTTAATATTCCTAAATTCTTAAAGAATCAGCAGAGAATGCCTCACAGTGATATGGTTTGGTTCTGTGTCCCCACCCAAATCTCATCTTGAATTGTAGCTCCCCAAATTCCAGCGTGTTGTGGGAGAAACTTAGTGGGAGTTCTCGTGGTAAGTGAGTAAGTCTCATGAGATCTGATGGTTTTATATTATAAAAGGAAGTTTCCCTGCACAAGCTCTATTCTCTTGTCTGATGCCATGTGAGACGTGCCATTCACCTTCCACCATGATTGTGAGGCTTCCTCAGCCACAGGAAACTGTGAGTCTATTAAACTTTTGCAAATTGTCCAGTTTCAGGCATGTCTTTATGAGCAGCATGAAAATGGACTAATGCACACAAAAAAGAAGGAAAGCTGTTACTGACACAAACTAAAGATACTGTAGTACATAACACCCAGTATGGTTCTATAGTTAAGGAAGTTTGTGAAGTGCTATCAAACTAACTTTAAAAATGGTTCTTTCTAGAAGTACTTCTCAAATATGCTAATGTGTACTTTGACAAGGGAGGTCAGGGTGCAGCATTTCCAAAATTTATCTGACCACACATATTGTTAAAACATTAGTTTAAAAGTATTCTCCAAAGTCATCAAGAATTGAGCTTCATTTATATTCATTTATATTCTGTAAAAGAAAACTGATATTATCTCTCGCATACATGGGCATTACCCTCTTCCCAATAAACTAAAGAAATCAAGTGTTTTAGTTTCAGTATATAAAAGTCAGCATCCCAGAAGGCCTTCGCCTTGCCCACAATTTGAGTACAGAGAAAGAAAATTCAAATGATATTCAAAGGGAGAGACAGTTAGATTTATAAAGGAATTTATTAAGAGCATCCTAAGGAAGAAGGTTCTTAGGAAGTTATATTATTTCAGAAATGAGAAAACAAAAGGTCGAGTTACATGCTGAAATATGCAATATAAAATAAACTGCATAGAGGTATGGTATTATATGTTATGCAAGAGTATATATAAGGCTTAACATAACAATAAATTGATATACACACTACAGGCCTTGGAATCAGAGACCTGAGTTTGAATTTTGGTTCTGCAACTTATTGGCTGTCTGATTTCAAAGAAAACTACTTCTCCAAGCTTTTCTCAAAAATAGGGAGAAAAATACCTCATCAAATAGCTATATATATTCAATGACATAATCCACGCTAGCTTATTAGCATAGTATCTGGCACATAACAGAGACTTAACAAATGAAAGATGTCGGCTGGGCACAGTGGCTCACACCTATAATTCCAGCACTATGGGAGGCTGAGGTGGGCGGATTACCTGAGGTCAGGAGTTTGAGACCAGTCTGGCCAACATGGTGAAACCCCATCCCTACTAAAAATAGAAAAATTAGCCTGTAGTCCCAGCTACTTGGGGGGCTGAGGCAGGAGAATCACTTGAACCTGGCAGGCAGAGGTTGCAGTGAGCAGAGATAGAGCCACTACACTCCAGCCTAGGTGACAGAGCGAGACTGTGACTCAAAAAAACAAACAAAAAACAAATGAAAGGTGGCATTATTACAAGCAAAGTCTTTTTAAAAGAATAATATTTCATATTTAGGTAAAGGGAAACAAATAGATAAAACTGGTCAATGTAAAAATGAGTAAAATCTTTCCAGAAAGCAATATAGCAATCTGTAAGAAGAATCTTTAAAAACAATTCTTACTCTTTAACCCAGTAAGTGTATTTCTAAAAATCTACCCTAAGAAACAGTCAAAAACACCAAGATTTTAGCAGCCATAAAGACTAGGTAATGGTTTTGAATTCGTCTCCTTGCTACTGAAGACACAGTTTTCTTCTTTTCTTTTCTCTTCTTTTTTTGAGACAGAGTTTTACTCTTGTTGCCCAGGTTGGAGTGCAATGGCACAATCTCGGCTCACTGCAACCTCCACCTCCTGGGTTCAATCAATTCTCCTGTCTCAGCCTCCTGAATGGCTGGGATTACAGGCATATGCCACCATGCCTGGCTAATTTTTTTGTATTTTTAGTAGAGACGGGGTTTCCCATGTTGGTCAGGCTGGTCTTGAACTCCTGACCTCAGGCGATCCGCCCGCCTCGGCCTCCCAAAGTGCTGGGATTACAGGCGTGAGCCACTGTGCCCGGCCTATTCTTTTCATTAATTCAAGTATCTTTGGGCAACTTAAAAGATTTACATTAATTCAAATCATATCTCTGTAACTTAGTAAAACAAAATAACTGATAAATGTTTAAGGTTCATCATATCTATCATAAAAGTTAAATGTATGATTCCATGGAATTATAAAGTACTCTATAGTATGATGAAACTCATTTGCCAAGCCAAGGAGCCTTTACACAAATACTTAAGGAAATCAATGCATACTTAAATAGGCTGATGAATCTCATACAAAAAGAAAGCATGAAGACAGCAGCAGTCAGCTTAAGGTTGTCCATCTGATTCATAAATTGTTTATGATACTTTAAACTTTATTTGCCAAAGTTTCCAATGAGTCTAAATAGCAAAACTGATTCTATTTACTATATGCTATATATAGTATATACTAGTTACTATACACTATATATAGTATATATAATATACATATACTAAATTGTAATATATATTATATATACTATATGTAATATTAATTATAAAATAAATTATTTTATTTATATATAAAATAATTATAAAATATATATAC